AAACATTTGGTTTGGGAATGAAATTTCCAAATAAAAATTTATGAAACTTTTATTTCTGCATTAAGTTTCAATATTTCAACTTTTCATCTGAAAAACATCTGCTCAAAGTGCAGCAGCAGTCAAAAAAGTGAACAGACTGTTAGGAACCATTAGGAAAGGGATAGAGAATAAGAGCAGAAAATATGATAATGCTTTTATATAAATCCATGGTATGCCCTCATCTTGAATACTGCATGCATATCTGGTCACCACATCTCAAAAAAGATGTATTGGAATTGGAAAAGGTTCATAAAAGGAAACAAAAATGATTAGGGGTATGGAACTGCTTCCGTATCAGGAGAGATGAAAAAGACTGGGATTTTTCAGCTTGGAAAAAAAATGACTAAGGGGCGATATGATAGCGATTATTTATTCCTTCACATAACACAAGAACGAGGGGTCACCAAATGAAATTAATAGGCAGCAGGTTTAAAGCATACAGAATAAAGTACTCCTTCACACAATGCACAGTCAACCTGTGGAACTCTTTGCCAGAGGATGTTGTGAAAGCCAAAACAATAACAGGATTCAAAAAGGAACTAGATAATTTCATGGAAGATAGGTCCATCAACGGCTGCTAGCCAGGATGGGCAGGGATGCAACCCCATGCTCTGAGTGTCCCTAGCTTCTGTTTGCCTGAAGCTGGGAGTGGATGACAGGGGATGGATCACTTGATCATTACCTATTCTCTTCATTCCTTCTGAAGCACCTGGCATTGGCCACTTTCACAAGACAGGATACTGAGCTAGATGGACCACTGGTCTGACCCAGTATGGCCATTCTTATGTTCTTACGTTCGTCTCAATTTTGCATGAAAACAAATCTTAAAATAATGGAATTTTCCATGGGATGTAAATTCCAATTTTTACTCAGCACTAAAATAAAGTAACACTTTCTGCACTTCAACACTGTTAAGTGCTAACTTTTTCTCTTTGCCCTGGTCTACGCTATGAGTTTAGGTCAAATTTAGCAGTGTTAGATCTATTTAACCCTAGAAAGTAGCACTTGCAACAATTTGTTGCTGTTTTGCAACTGGTAAAAGTAACAATGTATGAGTAAGTTCCCTCCCCCCATCCCTAACTTTTCACACTTTGTGATGGATTTTCAACCTTAAGGATGATTGATTCCAGTTCCTCAGTGCTCTGTTCCAGGTGTGTCTTCTCATTAATAGTAATGTCTGCCTCTGGTGTAGCCCTTTGCATCAGTAGATCTCAAAGTACTTGATAAAGCAGCTAACCCCATTTTACAGAGGAGGAAATTGAGGCATGGAGAAGTGAAACAACTTATCCAAGGTGACCAGTAGGCCATTGGGAGATCTCCAAAAGGAAGCCAGAGGCTCTGAACCACAGCCTAATACGCTGTCCACTGGGCCACAATCTGGACAACCTGTTTCAGACCCCATCTCTAAAACTGCATACAAAACATGATACTTTTAAAGTTTTCATAGACTCATAGAGTTTAAGTCCAGAAGGGATAATCAGAATATCAACTCTGACTTCCTGTTTAGCATGGTCCATTAAATTTCACCCAGTCAAGCCCAGTAACATTTCTTTCACTAAAGCATAGCCTGTGATTGGCTAAAACATATCCTTCAGAAAGGCATTTGTCTTGGGGCTTGTCTTCACTATGGGGGTAAATCAAATTAATGAATAACATAGCTGGAGTTGACTTACCCATTGTGCTGCGTTGATGGGAGATGCTCTCCAGGTGACTTCCTTTACTCTTCTTAAAGAGTACCAGGGTCGACCGGAGAGCCCTCTGCCATCCATTTAGCACAGGGGTGGGCAAACTTTTTGGCCCGAGGGCCACATCTGGGTGGGAAAATTGTATGCAGGGCCACGAATGTAGGGCTGGGGTAGGGGCTTGGTGTGTGGGAGGGAGTGCAGGGTGTAGGATGGGGTGCGGTGTGTAGGAAGGCACTCAGGGCAAGGGATTAGGGAGCAGGAGGGGGGTCAGGGCAGGGGGTTGGGGTTCAGGAGGGGTGTGGCAGGGGGCTCAAGGCAGGGGGCTAGGGGGCTCAGGGCAGGAGGTTGGGGTGTGGGGTGCAGGAGGGTTTTGGGGTGCAGACTCTGGCCTGGCACCACTTACCTTGAGTGGCAGCAGCACGCAGTGGGACTAAGGCAGGCTCCCTGCCAGCCCTGGCCCTGCACCACTCCCGGAAGTGGCCAGCATGTCTGGCAGTGGCTCCTGGGGGTGGAGTGGGGCAGGCGGCTCTGCCCTCGCCTGTGGGTACCACCCCTGAAGCTCCCATTGGCCACGGTTCCCTGTTCCTGGCCAATGGGAGCTGAGGGGGGCAGTGCCTGCAGGCGAGGGCAGTGCATGGAACCCTCTGCCCCCCACCCCCTCCCCAGGGGCTGGAGGGACGTGATGCCGGCCGCTTCCTGGAGCAGCACGGGGCCAGGGCAGGCAGGGAGCCTGCCTTAGCCCTGTTGCTCCACAGGGTGCAAAATCCCATGGGCCAGATTAAAAGCCCTGATGGGCTGGATCCGGCCTGCAGGCCGTAGTTTTCCCTCCTCTGATTTAGCGGGTCTTCACTAGACCTGCTAAATTGATCCCTGCTTCATTGATTGCAGCAGCATCAATCTCCCGGTAGTGAAGACCAGCCCTTGGTTTGAAGACATCAAGAGAATCCATCACTTCCGTGGCAGTTTATTCCAAAGCTTAATCACCCGGACTGTTAACAATTCATATCTAACTGGAATTTATCCAGCTTCAGCTTCCAGCTGTTAGCTCTTATTTTGCCTTTGCTAGATTAGTATGCAGTATTTTCTCCATGGAAGTTGACGGCATAATTATAATGTAACCACACATTGATTAGAATAGAAACCACAAAGATACTTATAATTATAATTTTGGGTTCCACGAGTGCTTTAACTTGGATAAAAATCATCAACCTGAAGCCTCTTCATGAGGGTTTGACCCAAGTGGACCCTGATGAAGTGTTGCATGAGACCTGAGGAAGGCCCTCAGAGTTTTTCCACAGACCTCAGTTGGAGAGGTCCAGGAGTAACAACTGGGTAAGGCCTTGGAGGTCTCACTACATATTACGGATCTTTTAGGATGGAATCCTGTCACTTAAGCCAGTGGGAGTTGCTGAAAATTGGCTTTTGACATGTCTCAAGTTGGGCAGCCCAAAAGGGAGTCATCCAAAGTTAGAGGCCACTTTTGAGACTTTATCTTTTATAACTCCATTCCCAGCTCCAAGCTTGAGTTGCCAGGCTGCCTTCTGGGAATTTTCACAGAGTCAGGAATGTTAAAGCACGTGATGGCTGGAGTATCAAATGGTACCATTGGTGTCACCCCTATTTCTCCATCCTAACCCAGTGAGCTGCTGGCGCATTGCCCCATGCACAGGGTGCCCTTATGGGATTGCAGCTGCCTTACGCTGCGCTGGCATCACACTGGGCTCGCTGCAGACGGCTGCTATGAGCTTCCAGGTAAGAGGCAGATCCATATCTTTAAGTAAATCAGACCAGCTCCTTCGACTTCCTTAGGCACTGAACACAGGGATGGCAACTAACCATTGGAACAAACTAGCCAGCCAAGTGGTGGATTCTATATGTCTTGATGTCTTCCAGTCCAGACTGGCTGCTAGTCTGGAAGATTGCTCCACTTCCCACAGCTCCCATTGGCCAGGAACGGTGAACCGCGGCCACTGCAAGTTGCAGGTGACTGTGCAAATGCAAACGGCCCACTAGCAAATTACACTGATGGGCCATGTGTGGCCCACGGGCTGCAAGTTGCCCACCACTGATCTACCCCCATACACCCCTGTATCTATCTATCTATCTATCTATCTATCTATCTATCTATCTATCTATCTATCTATCTATCTATCTATCATTATTGCAGTATCTCTCCAAGGACTTTGGTATTTTGTTCATGACACCAATGGTAACATAAGCAATTAAAACACAAGACCAGTGCCTCCTTTAGATAATTAACTTCTAAAGGAGATATAAGGTGTCCTTCCCCAGTAGCACTGAGAGGCTATTTAAAAGCATTGTGACACTGATTATTCATTGATGAAACTCATGAAGTGATCATGGTAATTTTGGAGATGTTCTCTGGCCTGTGTTATGCAGGAGGTCAGACTAGATGATTGTAATGGTTCCTCTGGCCTTGGAATCTTTGAATCTATGAAAGGGCTGTGACATCAGTAAAGACAAATATTTATTTCCAGCCATCAGCCTAATAGAACAAGAAAGCTCTACCCAGCTGTGGTGATTTCAAACTGCTTGAGAGACTAGTAGAGCTAAGGAGACTGAACTATCTAAGTCAAGGGGCAGTACCATTTTGAAAAGAAAATCTTGATTTAAAACTTGCCAGTTATGGAGAATCAACTCCCACTCTTGGCAAATTGTCCCTGTGGTTATTACCCTCATTGCTAAAAAATTACACCTTTTTTTTCTGTTTTAAACCAGTGGTCTCCATTCACTTCCGCGTGGAGTAATTCATGATTTACACCAGGGAGAGTGAGAGGAAAATCACACCCCATGTTACTGTGAAGGGTGAATTATTTTGGGGAAGTTCTAGGGCCTGTGTTACACAAGAGATTGGACTAAATGATCTCACTGGATTCTTCTGGCCTTTGTCCCTTTGTTGTGATGTGGATACTTTTAAAATGTGTGGTGTAATGTGCCTCTGTCTTATCTCCCCTAGGCTAATTTCACATTAATTTCACTGGAAGATTTATACCGGGTCCTTCAAAGTCAATGGGCCAGCTGTTCAGCTGTTATGAATTGGTTTACGATATTGAAATCAATTAGCCAGAACCCTGCTGGCATAAACTGACATAGCTTCATTGGAGTCTGTGGACCGGATCCACAGCTGGTGCAAATCAATGTCTTTTCTTTGGCTTCTGGTCTTCCTTAGAATGACAGTGATTTACATCAGCTGAGGGTCTGGCCCAGTAAACTGATTTATGTCAACAGGTGAGTAGGAGTAGGGGAGATCTGGAAATGACGAACCGATCCTCTCTCACAGAGTTCATCTTGGTGGGTCTGTCCAGCCTCCCTGAATACCAGATGTTCCTCTTTGTGTTACTTCATCTACATACCAGCCCTCGCTGGAAACCTCCTCATCGTCCTCACTATTACTACCAGCACCAGCCTCCAGATCCCCATGTATTTCTTGCTTATCAACTTGTCCTTGATAAACCTTTTATCCATCTCAGTATCCATTCCCAAAATGCTGCACAACCTTCTGGAGCACAAGAAGACCATTGCCTTCTTAGGTTGCATTACACAGATCTATCTCTTCACTTGGACTCTGGGAAGTCAAGCTCTGTTCCTTGCTGCCATGGCTTTTGACCATTACGCTGCTGTCTGCCATCCTTTGCATTACACCATCATCACGAGGAAGGAGGTTTGTGTTGGTTTAATCGCTGGCATATGGACAGCAGGGGTGATCAATTCTGCAGTCCACACTGGATTTGTGCTCCAGCTGTCCTTCTGCTGCTTGAATGTCATCAACCATTTCTTTTGTGAATTGCCACCAATACTAAAACTCTCCTGCTCAGACACCAGCCTCAGTGAAACCCTGGCTTTTCTGGCTGACACAGTCTTTGGGATGGGGAGCTGTGTGGTAACTTTAACGTCCTATTACTTCATCCTGAGAACTATCTTGAAGATTCGCTCCACAGAAGGCAAGAAGAAAGCCTTCTCCACCTGTTCCTCCCACCTCATAGTCATCATCTTATACTACTCCACAGCCATTTACACCTATATACACCCCTCCTCAGCCTACTCTCCAGACAGAGAGATCACTGTCCTATATTCAGTTATAACTCCAGCGCTAAATTCTATCATATACTTTCTGAGAATAGCGAGGTCCTCCAAGGATCTGTATTGGGACAAGTGCTGGTCAATATATTCATAAATGAATAGAAAGAGGGGCAATGATCTTGAAAAGTTTGCAGATGATTACTCAAAATTACTCAAGATAGTTAAGTCCAAAGCTGACAGTGAAGAATTACAAAGGGATCTCATAAAACTGGGTGACTTGGGCACGAAAATGGCAGATTAAATTCAAGGTTGACAAATGCAAAGTAATGCACATTAGAAAACATAATCCCAAGTATAGATACAAAATGATGGGGTCAAAATTACCAGGTATCTCTCAAGAAAGACACTTTGGAGTCATAATGGATAGTTCTCTGAAAATATCCACTCAATGTGCAGCAGCAGTCAAAAAAGCTAACAGAATGTTAGGAACCGTTTGGAAAGGGATAGATAACGAGACAGAAAATATCATAATGCCTCTGTATAACCACTTGGTATGCCCACATTCTGAATACTGCATGCAGATCTGATCACCCCATCTCCAAAAAGATGTATTAGAACAAGAAAAGGTATAGAGAGGGGCAACAATAATGACTAGGGGTATGGAACAGTTTCCTTATGAGGAGAGATTAAAAAAACTGGGACTCTTCAGCTTGGAAAAGAGACGACTAAGAGGGGATAGGATAAACATCAATAAAATCAGGTTTCAGAGTAACAGCCGTGTTAGTCTGTATTCGCAAAAAGAAAAGGAGTACTTGTGGCACCTTAGAGACTAACCAATTTATTTGAGCATAAGCTTTCGTGAGCTACAGCTCACTTCATCAGATGCATACTGTGGAAACTGCAGAAGACATTATATACACAGAGACCATGAAACAATACCTCCTCCCACCCCACTCTCCTGCTGGTAATAGCTTATCTAAAGAGATCACTCTCCTTACAATGTGTATGATAATCAAGTTGGCCCATTTCCAGCACAAATCCAGGTTTTCTCACCTTCTGCCCCCCAAACACAAACTCACTCTCCTGCTGGTAATAGCCCATCCAAAGTGACCACTCTCTTTACAATGTGTATGATAATCAAGGTGAGCCATGTCCAGCACAAATCCAGGTTTTCTTCACATTGTAAAGAGAGTGGTCACTTTGGATGGGCTATTACCAGCAGGAGAGTGAGTTTGTGTTTGGGGGGCAGAAGGTGAGAAAACCTGGATTTGTGCTGGAAATGGGCCAACTTGATTATCATACACATTGTAAGGAGAGTGATCTCTTTAGATAAGCTATTACCAGCAGGAGAGTGGGGTGGGAGGAGGTATTGTTTCATGGTCTCTGTGTATATAATGTCTTCTGCAGTTTCCACAGTATGCATCTGATGAAGTGAGCTGTAGCTCACGAAAGCTTATGCTCAAATAAATTGGTTAGTCTCTAAGGTGCCACAAGTACTCCTTTTCTTTTTATCAATAAAATCGTGACTGGTGTGGAGAAAGTCAGTAAGGAAATGTTATTTACTCCTTCACATAACACAAGAATTAGGGGTCACCCAATGAAATTAGATAAGTAAGTCTAGAGCCTGGAATGTGTGTTATGATATTATTTTATATGTAAACATTTTTCCCAATATTTCTACTTGCTATCACTTACATCTCACCACGTTGTTAAATATACTATTATTTGTTTTCACTATAAACATATCTCAGTGCTGCATGTTAAGCAAAGTTGTTGATATACAGAGTAACTAGGAAGCCTTAGTGTATTGTTCATTTGGGAGCAGTGACCCTATGAATACTACGAGTGCCCAGTGCACCAGGAGCTGCACACTCTGGGGGGACACTTGGAGGGCTTTAGGGCTGGAGTGTGTCTATTGCTAACTGGTAGAGGGACAGCAGAGCCTCTGTAGGCTGATCAGGCAGCGCTTGTGATGCCCATAGCCAGTGCAGTCAGGGAGTTGACCCATGGCACAGCCAGTCTTCCTCATGCTCAGGACAGGTGGTAGCAAGGTGCCTCACAGTCCTTGGTACCCCTGGGAAGCATCACAGTCTCATGAGGACTGTTAAGTATTAGTGTAACTAACATCTCAGTAGAGGGTCATCTGGGTGAAGTTTAATGGCCTGTGAGATACAGGAGCTCAGACTGGATGATCTAATGGTTCCTACTGGCCCACGAATCTAGGAATGTAGGAATTTTGCCATCACTCCTCCTGTATTTAAATGACTCCATCGTACTCAGAGGAGCTTTGCTAACTTCTCTATGCTTCCCATGCTTTGTCTGTGTTGTCTTCCTACACTTGGGGGCATGGACTGTTTCTCACTGTGTGTTCCTATAGTGCAGAGCACATTGGAGCCTTGATCTTGATTGGGACCTCCAGTTGTTATAGTAATGCATGATAACGATGTTGGATGATGTAAACATGCTGGTTAATTTTCATTCCAGGGTACCATCAAGCTCTGAAGTTTTCCCTTCTCCTAAATGGTAAACAGGGAGCTCTGGGTTTTGTTCCTGGCTCTTTTCAGAGTAACAGCCGTGTTAGTCTGTATTTGCAAAAAGAAAAGGAGTACTTGTGGCACCTTAGAGACTAACCAATTTATTCGAGCATAAGCTTTTGTGAGCTACAGCTCAGTATGCATCCGATGAAGTGAGCTGTAGCTCACGAAAGCTTATGCTCAAATAAATTGGTTAGTCTCTAAGGCGCCACAAGTACTCCTTTTCTTGTTCCTGGCTCTGCCATTGACCTGCTGGGTGAACTTGAGCAAATCACTTTCCCACTCAGTGCCTCAGTTTCCCCTCCCATCCTTTGTCTGTCTTCTCTATTTGTATTGTAAGCTCTTTGCTGGAGGGGCTCTTATTATGTTTCTGTACCATGTACAGTACAAAAGAACCCTGATGTTGGGTCGGGCCTGTAGGTGCTATATTAGTATTATTAGTATTAATAATAAAATAAAATAATAATAATAATGTCAACGTATTTTATTCATATTCATCATTCTTATTTCACAGAGTAGCTGCCCCTGTCTGAATTTGTTTCTCTAACTGATCTGCATGAGTTGGACACATCTATTGGACTTAAAGCACAAATTAAATCAGGGCTGTGATATATAGGGCTGTGATCACTGTGGTCATTTCTGGGCTTAAAAATTCATATATCTATGAATGATTATCTCCTTCTATCCAGTTCCTCTTCTGTCTCATTCCTTCTCCTCTGCTGCTCTCTAGTGATCACATAATGCAAACCGAATTTCTTTGCTATCACCTGCATGCGTAATCTTTTCTCTTTACCGTTATATTATGCTACTGCATTGGTCAGTCAGAATTCCAAAACACCAGCCTCCTTGGGGCACTCTGAATTTGGATTGGATATTGGTGTTGCGGGTCCCCACAGAGATTGGCCTTTTTATTGTTAATCCATCAGCAAGCACGGCTTGTAGGCCCCAGTCCTGGTAACCCTGAGGCCAATGGGAGATTGGCTTTGATCGTCGTGGGGTCAGGTTTGGGGCCCATTGTTTGTGATTACAATGTCTGTGCAGATAGCTAAAGGCTTTTGGGCACTGAACACTCCACTGCCAATAACAAATGTCACCTCTTATCGTTCACATGAGGTAGGGAAGGAGCTTTATCCTCATGCCAAAGGGAGGGGAACTAAGGCACAGATGGCTGTATCCTCAGATGCTGCAAATCCACCTTCCTAGGCATTTAGGGAGGCCTCTGCAAGGGGTATCTCAGTGCCTCAAAGTCATTAATATTAACAATTTACTGTCACAGCACCCCTGGGAGGAAGGGAAGTGCCATTATGCCTATTTTACACCTGGGGAAACTGAGGTAAAGGACAGTTTAAGTGACTTGTGTAATCACACAGACAGCCCATGGGGATCTGGCCCATTAACTCCAATGAATCTATGGCTCATTTACACCAGCAGGGAATCTGGCCCATTGACTCCAGCAAAGCTTTGGCCAATTGACATCAGCTGAGTATCTGACCCCTGGACTTCAGTGAAGCGGTGGCCTATTTACACTGTCTGAGATTCTGGCCCATTGACTCCCATGGAGCTATGGATAATTTATACCAGATGAGGATATGGCCCATTGGCTCCCATATGGCCGATTTATACCAGCTGGCATCCGGCCCATTCATTCCAATGTAGCAACCGCCGATTTACACCAGCTGGGGATCTGACCTTGATGACTCCAGTGGAACGAAGGCTGATTTACACCAGCTGGGGATAAGGCCTACAGGAATGAAGGTGGCTGAGATTTCCCAACCCTGCCTAGGGGATTTGGACACACTATGCCGATTAATTATTGTTTGAAATCATCAGCCTAAGTGGCCTGCTCATTGTCACGCAAGGACTCTGAGGCAAAGCCAGGAACTGAGCTGAGATTTCTGAGTGCCAGCCCAGTGCCTGAAACATGAGATTGGCTTCATCTCCATGCTGGAACTGCTGGGTGAGGGTCTCTAGCCTATATTAGCAGGTTTCAGAGTAACAGCCGTGTTAGTCTGTATTCGCAAAAAGAAAAGGAGGACTTGTGGCACCTTAGAGACTAACCAATTTATTTGAGCATAAGTTTTTATAAAAGCTTCATAAAAGCTTATGCTCAAATAAATTGGTTAGTCTCTAAGGTGCCACAAGTCCTCCTTTTCTTAGAGCCTGTATTATGCACTCTGTACATACAGGGCCAGATTTTAAAGATGTTTAGGGACCTGGGAGAAATTCTAAAGCACCTGGGCATAGGTACTTTGGAAAATCCCACTAGGTGCCTAAACACTTTTACAAATCTGGCCCTAGGTCTACACCACAGAGCCTATACCAACAGCTGTCCCAGACTGAGGGTATTGTCAGCGTAGCTATTTGGGGTGTGTTCGCTGAAGACCAGGCCTTAGAGAAATTGTGATAAATAAATGTTCAAAACATTCTTTATCATTAAGCACCCTGTGTGTAAATGAAAATTGGAACCCTCCTTTCCTTAAACGACCAGATTTAGGAAGGGTTTTTATCCATGCTAATTCAGTTGGGAGATGGATTCATGGCCAACATTTCCAAACTTAGGTGACTAAAGCTAAAATAATAGTGAGGCTGGGATTTTCAATAGAGCCAAAGGGATTAGACA